TCTGGATCCGTGCTGAGATTTCGTCACCAATCAATCCGTTGGTGCTGATACAACTTCCCAAATAGGTGAAGTGGTCAACATGTTCTATCACTTCACTCCCTATCACTGAGCTAGGAGTTGACGTAGTCCAGTCCTGTAGCAGCATCTTACATTTCACAGGGGCGAATCGCATGCCAAACATACGAAGATTGCTGCTCAAGGTGTTCAGAAGACTCTGCATTTTGTCAGTGTCCTCCCCTAACAGGACTATGTCGTCTGCGTATTCTAAGTCTATAAGACTATTCCCTGGTAACAAGTCGATTCCTAAGTCGTTACGTTCGGTTAAGGATACTTCCATAAGCATATATATGATGAAGTTAAACAGAAATGGGGAAAGTGGACATCCTTGACGGACACCACTGGTTGTTATCAATTCAGATGACAATTCCCCATAAGCCCTTACACAGCCACGTGAGTTTGAGTAGAGTGCCTTGATTAGTGCAATGTACTTTCTTGGCACTCCCTTCACAGTCAAACATTGCCATAGAACCTCTTGATCCACGGAGTCGAAGGCCGCCTTCAAGTCAAGAAATATGGCAATTGTTGGACGCCTAAAAGTGTGCCTATGTTCTAGGATCTGTCGGAGAGTGAAGATATGATCTATGCACCCTCTACCTGGCCTAAAGCCCGCTTGATTTTCCCTCGTTTGTTCCTCCCGAGTTCGGCTTAGTCTGTTCATGATTACTGAGCCTAGGATTTTAGATACTATATTAGTCAAGCTAATCCCTCTGTGATTATCACAAGACGACTTGTCTCCCTTCTTGAAAATCGGTATAATAAGTAACTTACCCCAGTCTGATGGAACCGTCTCTGATTCCCAGACGTTACCTAGAACCTTAGTTAAACTATATACTAGTATGTCACCCCCATATTTAAATACCTCCGGAATAATTCCGTCGGGTCCTGCCGCTTTGCCTCGTTTCAAATTACAGATTGCTTTGGTGACCTCACTTACAGACGGTAGGCCAGTGTCTATATCCCATTCGGGTGTGTGCTGGATGGCGGGGAGGCTCAGTGTGGCTGTAGGCAAGTTAAACTGTTCCTCGAAGTGTTCTTTCCAGCGTTCGAGGCGTCTATCCTGAGAGCTAATTAAGGAGCCATTTTTCTCACAAGTAGTCTCACTTATGATTTGCCTTCTCCCACCCGTTTCCCTGATGAGTCTAAAGAGTTGCCTAGTGTTGCCTATCGCCGATGCTTTTTCCATCTCTTTCGCCTTTGTCAACCACCACTGTTCACGGTCCTTGTGGAGACTTTTCGTAAGTTTTCTTTTGTGCAGCTTTCGCTCCTCATTGAATTCGGAGCTCGCCGGAATAAGTCTTCTAGCATCTATCAGTTCGGATGAGGCAGTCGAAATCCAATGGTTTTTACTCACCTTTGGATTTACCTTATTCACAGCTTTTACAGCTGTATCTATGGCTGACTGAATATTCTTCCAGGCTTCTTCAGGGTGAGCGCAGCTGTCGAACTCAGATATGTGTTTAGCTAGTTCTTCCTCAAATAGGGACTTAGTTTCCAGATCGAGCTGGGGGGACAGGGATATGAGACAAAAGGAATAATAATAACGAAGAACAATATAGTTTTATTGGGTATTATGAGTCACAAGGAGTGGATGCAACTTCGCCATTGAGAACAATTTTGAGCCATATCACCAACTGTTTCCAACCATTGAGTTTTACCGTCTTGAGGACCCAAAACAGGAAGTCTACACTTTCCTACGTGGCTTAGACTAACTGTTGTGGACTTCATTGACTAATACCATGTTTTCATTTGACCACCACTAGCTCTTTTCCAACCTGACCCTATGTCAGCTAACATTGCCAGTCGAGGAAGGCGATGGGCTAGGCATACTTAACACATGTCCAAACCATCTCAATCGATGTAACTTCACAACCTCGTCTATTGATTTCTCCTTCTTACCTAGCACTCGACGTCTAACCTCAATATTGCTTACCCTATTATACTATTTCACACGGGAGATAGAACGCAGGCACCTATGATCAAAGACAGCTAGCCGGCTTTTTCATGTCTTCCACTTTCAATGGCCATGTCTTACTGCCAGCCATAAAGAAGGACAGAGCGGACTTCTGAGCAGTACACACGTCCTTTGGTCGATAGCCGGATATCACATCTACGCCAGAGACGGCGTAAACTGTCATATGCGAAACTGGCCTTCTGTATCCGTGCTGAGATTTCGTCAACGATCAACCCATTAGGGCTGATGCAACTCCCCAAATAAGTGAAGTGGGAAGACTAAAAGCAGCTGGAAAGAACAGGCGAAGTAATAAAAATAGGCTCATACATATTTGTTATTCTTGCTTCATTCAAGTTCATGAATGCTATCGTTGGCGTGGGTCGGTAGGAGATTGTCGCTCCTTCTGGAACACGTGTGTAGATACCGATCATGCACTGGTCCGCGCTCGTATGTGCTTACGACTGAACGGACGTAGGAAACAGCTGGCGGTAAAGCCATCACGTCCCCAGCTCGACCAGGGAACTAAGTCCCTATTTGAGGAAGAACTAGCTAAACACATATCTGAGTTCGACAGCTGCGCTCACCCTGAAGAAGCCTGGAAGAATATTCAGTCAGCCATAGATACAGCTGTAAAAGCTGTGAATAAGGTAAATCCAAAGGTGAGTAAAAACCATTGGATTTCGACTGCCTCATCCGAACTGATAGATGCTAGAAGACTTATTCCGGCGAGCTCCGAATTCAATGAGGAGCGAAAGCTGCACAAAAGAAAACTTACGAAAAGTCTCCACAAGGGCCGTGAACAGTGGTGGTTGACAAAGGCGAAAGAGATGGAAAAAGCATCGGCGATAGGCAACACCAGACAACTATTCAGGCTTATCAGGGAAACAGGTGGTAAAAGGCAAATGATAAGCGAAACAATCTCCGAGAAAAATGGCTCCTTAATTAGCTCCCAGGATAGACGTCTGGAACGCTGGAAAGAACACTACGAGGAGCAGTTTAATTGGCCCACATCCACACTTAGCCTGCCGGACATCCAACACCTTCCTGAATGGGATATAGACACAGGTCCTCCGTCCCTAACTGAGGTTACTAGAGCAGCCACTAACCTGAAGCAAGGCAAAGCAAAGGGACCTGATGGATTGACTCCAGAGGTATTTAAGTATGGTGGAGACAGTTTACTGTCTGCGTTAACGGAGGTTCTAGGCAGCGTCTGGGAATCAGAGGAAGTCCCATCGGGTTGGTGTAAGTCACTGATCATCCCGATATACAAGAAGGGAGACAAGTCGTCTTGTGATAATCACAGAGGGATTAGCTTGACTAATATAGTATCTAAAATCCTAGGCTCAATAATACTGCGTAGACTAAGTGGTGCTCGGGAGACACAAACACGAGAAAACCAGGCAGGTTTTAGGCCAGGTAGAGGGTGTATTGATCACATCTTCACCCTTCGACAGATTCTAGAACATAGGCATTCCTACCGGCGTCCGACAATCATTATATTTCTTGACCTAAAGGCGGCTTTCGATTCTGTCGACCGGGAGGTTCTCTGGCGATGCTTGGCTGTAAAGGGAATGCCGAGAAAATACATTGCACTGATTAAGGCACTCTACTCATACTCATGCAGCCAGGTGAGGGCTTATGGCGAGTTGTCATCTGAAGTGGTGACGACTAGTGGCGTCCGTCAAGGATGCCCATTATCCCCATTCCTATTCAATTTCATCATAGACGTACTAATGGATTTAACCCTATCACACTTCAGCGACTCAGGGATTGACTTGCTACCAGGGAATAATCTCGTTGACTTAGAATATGCGGACGATATAGTCCTTCTAGGCGAGGACTCTGACAAAATGCAGAGTCTACTGAACACCCTGAGCAACAATCTCCGTATGTTTGGCATGCGATTCGCCCCTGTAAAATGTAAGATGATGCTGCAGGATTGGACCTCATCGACCCCTAGATTAGAAATAGGAAGTGAAGTGGTAGAACACGTTGACCGCTTCAATTACTTGGGAAGTACCATCAGCCCCAACGGGTTGATCTCCGACGAAATCTCAGCACGAATACAGAGGGCTAGGTTCGCATTCGCCAGTTTTCGCCGTCTCTGGCGTAGACGCGATATCCGACTATCGACCAAAGGGCGTGTGTACTGCTCAACAGTCCGCTCCGTCCTCCTTTATGGCTGTGAGACCTGGCCATTGAGAGCAGAAGACATGAAAAGATTAGCTGTCTTCGATCATAGGTGTCTGCGTTCTCTCTCCCGTGTGAAGTGGTATAATAAGGTGAGCAATATTGAGGTTAGGCGTCGAGTGCTAGGTAAGGCGGGGAAATCAATCGACGAAACGGTGAAATTACTTCGACTGAGATGGTTAGGACATGTGCTACGTATGCCTAGTTATCGCCTTCCTCGACGGGCAATGTTAGCTGATATAGGGCCAGGCTGGAAAAGAGCTAGCGGCGGTCAAACGAAAACATGGCACCAATCAATGAAATCTACAACAGTTAATCTAAGCCACGTAGGAAGGTGTAGACTTCCTGGTTGGGGTCCTCGGGACGGTAAAAACCAATGGTTGGAAACAATTGGTGACATGGCTCAAAATCGTTCTCAGTGACGCAGATGCATCCACTCCTTGTGACTTATGATTTCCAATTAAACTGTTTTGTTCTCCGTTATTACTATTCCTTTGTCTCACACCTCTGTTTACTGTCTATATTATGCATTTCTTCTACTTCCTTCTCTTGCTTTGCGTGCTACATAGATTGTGGCGACTTGAACTGCCGCACATCAGTGCAAAGTTCTATGTCGAAAACCGACCGACCGACCGACCGAATGCAAAAAGTTATATGAAGCTTTTAAAAGATAGATATATACATTTATCATATATCTACGACACAAAAAGTAACGAATACCTTTAAAATGTGCTTCTAGTAAAAACAGACATAAAACTTGAAAACTTCATATAAATATAAAATTTAATCGTGAACTTACTGTTGAAGATGTGTCACCGAGTTTAGGCTGGATTTTCAAAGATTTTTCATACATTATATCGTCAAAGGCATTTTCACTTTCAACACCCCATGACTTTAAAGGGTCTAGTGTTTCTAAAAAGTTCTGTAACAAAAGTAAATTAAACGTCAAAAATTTAACATGAAATTGTTTAGATGACACTGTTATAGAAAGCAAACATGTTAAGAAACAAACAAATTCATCAGTTGACTTATTTTCTACAGACAACACTGAATAAAACCTTGCAGCACAACAGTGCACCAGTGCGCTTCTAGCTGTCATATATAAATATATAAGATGTAAATATATAAGAAAAACATCTAATAAAGTATGGTGTAGACGCTCAGATCAGGATTAAATAATATTTACCAAGTTCAACCAATTAACGAACGACACCTAAAAACATCAAACAAGTATTAACTATCACAGAAAATCTGAACCAATCAAATTTGACTTATTCTACATGTATCAATCAGCTGAAGTCAGTACTATTATACGGATCAGAGACTTGGCGCCGCCTCACAAAGGGCACTTCGATCAAACTGCAGACCTTCATCAACAGTTGTCTTTCCTCAATACTACTCAAGATCAGATGGCCAGTCAGAAAAGATCAGCAACAGGGATCGATCTCTGGCAATGAGCGAACCAACCCATCAGGAACCAATTAATTGTGCAACAAATCTGCAGGAAGAAATGGAGATGGATTGGCCAAACTCTGAGAAAACAAACCATCAAATGAGTGACATCACACGCCAGGTCATCGCTCGAGTGGAATGGGAATGGGAAGCGGCGAGTTGGTCGTCAGTGTGAGGTTGACATGGAGGAGGTGGTGGGAAGAGGAGAAAAAAGCATGTGAGCAGACGTGGAGCCAGGTGAAAATGTTGGTGGAGAACCAAACGCAATGGAGACATGTGGCTGAAGCCCTATGTTCCTTCAGGAACTAAATGGAGACAATAATATAATAATATAAAGTTATTTAAATATACCAGCTTCTTTCCACATAGCACTTATGCAAAACCTCTTGATTTACACAGCCAAATACCATCTTTCGGTGAAGAAATATAAATACCGACTAATGATAAGCATTTTACACTAGAGACTATTGAAGGACCGAGATTCGATGGCTCTACTTTCTACCAAAAAAAAGCCCTACTTCATCTCAGGCAATTTCCACAACGTACTTCTTTTACATGCAGACATCGTTGTGATTTAGAAATAGTAACTAAAAATTACTGGTGTAAAATTCCATCCAGAACATTTGATGTATATAAATTTAAGCATATTTAAATTTCATGGTTTATGATATCTGATAACACTGAACAGCTTTAAATTATCCTCATTTATCAAAATGTTAATTAAACGAAACAGTCATACTAGATATCGGGGAAACAAAAATCCAGACATTAGTTCAAAGAAAATGTTAGGCGAAACTATAAATAATCTCCCAAAATGTATATATATCGACCATATTCCTCCTATCACATTAAAAAAAAGAAACAGTTGCTTTACAATAAAACAAGAGGTTTAGTGAACATATCTCTTCGGCAATTTCATTCTCTACACGAGTAGAATAACAGATTTATGCATCCATAGTCTAATAAGATCTTATAATCGAGAAAATATAACCGGACAAAATGAGACAGATAAAACTAAATGAAAGTAAAAAAAAAAATTTCATAAAAACGATAGGAAAAGTCGTAAATGTGATGAAAAGTAAAGGTCAGTCAAAATGAGATATCTTCACTAAATTTCCTATTTGTTTCTAAAGTCAATCTTTATCACATTTTGTGAAGTAATTTAAATATATATGTAAGCATGTTGTAGAAATGTTACATCAATGGTTAATCAGACCTAGTGGTAAAGGATTATGCGATACAATCAAAAGTCTTACAACTCGACAGTTATTTACATATTATAAGACTATGACGTGAGAGAGTTGATAGACTTTGTCTACTTATGCATAAGAATATACGCGTCTACTATTTAACTAGATATTAGCGTTCTCAAGAGCAACTTCAATGAACAGCAGGGAGGTATTAAACGAGTGAGGAAAAAATAAAAGTAATAAACGCCTTTTAAGAATGATTCATGCAACTGTTTTCAGTTTTCAAGTCTTTCTATTTGTTTTCACCACCTCTTTTTTTATTTCACTTGTATAATTTCGTTTCCCCATTAACATTATTACTCCTAGTGAAACGGTAGAAGACGGGAGACTTGGTAAAGGAATGTTTATTTGGAGATTGGTATCTCTATATAGCCAAATTATGTGCACCTTATCTTCATCGCACCATCTGCACAGATCTTTGTGTTGTGGTGTAACAACAGAAGACAAGGGCCAGGCAACAGATCCTTTATTAAGGAAATCAACACATATTTATAGATTTTCTTGTACATTGTTAAAGATAATTTTTAGCAGAAAAACGCCGTCTTCTGATTGGTTGTTTCTCACTGTAAGTTAATCTTTCATCTCTTTGTGACTGTTTCTTGAATGTCAGATCATCTATATGCTAACTGTATTCGCCTACCAAAGTCTGCTGTGGTTGGTTGTTGAATCAGTCTTTGTTCATATTTTTCTCATGACCAATATTGAGGAAACAAAATTTGGGCTACAGATATCACATGCTGAAAATTCCATACTTGTATCAAAACTACGGTGTGGAATCAAGCTATAATCAAAAATATTTCAAAAAATATTTGTGCATAACAGAAGTGACCAGTGTTCATTTAATTAACTGCATAGCAATATTTAACACTATACTTACACGAATTGGTTTATTGATAGAGAAATTGTATGGTGTTTGTTGAAAAGACAAATAGTATTCAACAAGTTCAGCTAATTGACGACATTTCCAAAAATTTATTAAACAATTACTATTCGAATCGCGTACATCTGCAACTGATACAAACGGTGATGAAGAAGGATTAACCCAATCGGAATGCTTTAATTCTAAATGTATCAATTGTGTTTTATCACCGACTGCAATAAATGGAAGACCAGGTGGATGAATTCGATGCAATTTCTCTTGGTAATCATCAAAATAAATATTTCCATTATCACTTTCAACTGACTGGCGTAAACATTCAAACAAATTACGATAATGCTGTTTAGACTTGGAGATAAGAGCCTAAAAAAGCGTTATGAAAAGGGGGGAAAATCAATACGTTTTATTAACACAGATGAAATGAATAACTGCAGCAGTAAAGTGACTTGAAAAACATTGACAGTTAGCATAATGGGAAACATTAAATCTTGGAATCTCTCATAGCAATCTTTACACAGATGTATTGACATAAGACAATAGTAGCAAGTAGGTTTATGCACGTATTAGTTACGGGTCTAAGGGGGGAAATATAAGCTGTGTAACAGTATGAAATATCAAACAAAAGCAATGTAAACACAAACCAGAAGATTTTTAGTCAAGTAGTATAGGTAACTAGCAACTTTTTAAAATTTCTGGAAGTAAAACTTTTAAAAAAAACTGTATAGTAAGAAGTGGATAAAGGAAAAATATTACAAAATAATATACAGTAATAATCCAGAAGCCACTGGCTCGAATCCTGCCATGATCCCGATTGCCATTTCTCTTCTTCAAACATCAATTATCATTAAATAAAATGAATAACTTAGTATAGAGAAAAGGTTTATTTGTTATGAAACCCACCTCGTATGTTTCACTTAAACGAAATACAGGAGAACTTAAAAGAGCAGCTTTAGCTTCTTGAACTCCTTGTAAATTGTTTAAATGTTCGAAATATGTCAGTAGGTCGGCCACACGTTGCATGACTACCATTCTATCTTCTAAATGATGGGCTGACATGATTGAACTGACTAGCCACCATTTAAACTACAATAAAAACGATGAGAAAAACAAAGTCACGGTTAAACAATATACTAATATATATTAGATTATTATTAAAAATGCAAACGAAATCAGTCATAGGATAAAATAAACACACATTAGGTTCTCGAATAACCAGACACAGACATAGTTTTTCCTACATCTTTATGAGAGAATATTTCTTGATGGCTTCATCGTAGAGTGATATCATATACAGCCGAAGTTATGTGACACTTTTTGGACCTTATAAATATGCTTACTGGTTGTACACAATGTACGTCTTCATCTGTCAGAAGTTAACTTAGAATACACCTTAAGTTGTATGAAGTGTTTACTGATTTGGTCATTTCGGTGTCATTTTCGTCAAGACTGTGCCGTATTCTCGAATACTTCCTTCCTAAATGCAAACTTGCAGTAACCTAGCAAAAAGTGTAATGTATTATTCTTGAAATCTAGTCAGAGTACTTTTCTCAGAAACGCGAATCAAATGGTGTTTTTCTGCTAACTTCTCTAGGCTTCCTGATTGTGTAATTTGATTGATGCTTACACACGTTAAAATATGTAGAGGAATGACGGCGAAGCAAAATTTCTGGGAACAGGAGACAAAATTTATTTTGATTGATGGGAACAGTACAGAAATTATAGAAATATCTCCTGAAATTTTATAAGTAACCTGTTGTATGTAACTATTCATATGTAAACAGAAATTATACACCACGAAAAAAAGACCCGGGAAATAACTTGCTTTATACAATTTATACAATTGTAACAGGAGTGATGAACAAAGAAGACAAACTAACCTTATTAGAAAATTGCAGTGATGCCTCGAAATTGGGAGATTTAATTTTTTCCTTACCAGTAACTTCCCAGAATTCGATACGAGAGTATAGTTCCCACTCATATAAAGTAACCTGACGAGCTAATTCAAGTGGGTGAACCTGTTCAAAAGAGAAAAATTATGCTTTAGCTTATTTATTTAAATCTAAAAGTCTAGGCGAAAATGTTGTATTTTAGAAAACGGCTTTCATCGGTATCCCGCTGGACATATCCACTGAAATCATTTACTAAAATATTCATTATAAACAAGTTATCTTTTCTATGAATTTCGACAAATTAGTAGCTAGATTCGTATGCTTTTGGGAAGTGTGTGGGTGGTTGTTACTTCCCGGCTGCCCACACTGTGGAAGTTGATTGATTCTTCGGGTACCTGAAACAGAAAGAGGTTTAGTGTTGCGTGACCACAGAGCCCAGGGGACAACTGCTTGAGGCCAGTCACACACGGCCTGTATGAACTGGTTTCTTGGATTAGTTCCGTATCAGTCAGCACCTATGCTCCATGCCACTCGATTGCACCAACTGGTGAAGAGTACTGGTTTTATAATAGGAGGTCTCGGAATTTTAATAGCCAGCCTACAAATTTAACAAGTTAACAATGTATCCCGTCGCATAAAGTTTATGGATGTCAGCTCATGATGAAATCCTCCATACAATCAAACAAAATCCCTACCAAAACCAATACTTGAAAATTAATCTGATGCTCACTAGTGACTGGCCCTATTCAGGCAGTTAACCTGGGGTTCTAGTGGGAAGCCGTGACCAGTAGGGTACAGCAGGTTGAAGATGTGACAGTAACTCATCTAAGAAGACATTGCGAAATGGTCGCGCTATGTCGTGAATTGGCAGAAGTTAGAATTCAAGGACCATTGGATCGGGTCCCAGTGGCTCAATGGTCTACGAGCTCGCCTTGTAACCAGAAGGTCCTGGGTTCGAATCCCGGTGGATGCGTATTGCTGAAGAGTCCCAAACTAGGACGAAACAGCTGTCCAGTACTCCCAGGTTTTCCAGTGGTTCTCTAACTGATGTCAGCTCATGATGAAATCCTCCATACAATCAAACAAAATCCCTACCAAAACCAATACTTGAAAATTTTGGGAATCGTTAAAAACTCAATCTGAAAAACGAGAGAGCATTTCTAATTTACCAGTTAATCAGAATCTGTCTCATATTTGGTTTATGATTTAATCAATATCAAAATCCTTCTTCTACAGAATGCTTTCTGTTTGATAATACAAAATAATTAGTCAATTACTATGAAAACCTGATACCATTCAGTGCAAAAAACACCAGTTTTATTTTTGGGCATGGAATTTTGATAAATTATCTTTTAATGATACTGTCAAGGTTTTTCTAAAACAAAAATCTAGCGAACAATCATGCCTATTTGATATTCGATATGAATCCAATAGAGAAAAAAAAGATTCTTAGTGTCACAAAGACCCTAGTCACCGAGTTCTTGAGAAGAAAAAAACAAGATCTGTCAACTTTTCTCCTAACTTCCTAGTTATATAGAATTACTTAGTCCGAGAACAGTTCCCACCTAACATCAAGTTACGACAGAATGAAAAGCCTAATAGCCAGTTGTTTGATAAAATAATATTTACTGCTTTAGACTGATGCATACATTCACAGTTTATAGATGAGATGTGTGCGAATTTCAGTTGGTAGACATAACGCACAGTTTTATCCTCTTTTTACAGTTGGATTAGTCAGATAAAGATGATATCAGCATATCTTTATTATTTGGCAGATTGAATGCTCCGAACGGGATAGGATAGTATTTCAGACTTTAGTGTGATACATCTAGTTAGTAAAACAACCAACTTAATATATCAATCAGCTTTTATGAACACTGTTCATTTTCCCCCTGTTACGTATTGTTCGGACACACAGCTAATCCGTTGGGGTTTCTCTGCGTGCGTCTGGATCCCATTCTCATCGGCGGAAATTTGTAACTAGAGTTAATGCTAAAATTTGAGTTCCTTGTTACTGCTATTTCAATACACAACGATATACGACTGATCACTCAAATGCTATTCCCACACTGAGAAAGACACAGAGCATTGACTGAAAACACAAAGATTTATTTCTCCGTGGAAAAATGCAATCTGACTAGGAATTACTTTCTCTTCGACTTCAATATCTTTTTTCTTTTACTTCTTACTCTTCTGGAGATGCTTTACATACTATTCGCTTAAGTAGCGCACATCACAATCATAACCTATGAGCTTTAGTATATCTCCTAATGTGTAGTGAAACTGAAATAATACTGAATTCAAATTATTACCTAATATACAGGTACATAAAATATCTTACTGTGGTTAATTTCACATCATCGGAAAGCATAGCTAAGCCGAAATCAAGTGGCTCAGGTGGAAGCTGTTGAATTGTTGGCACCGATCTTATTCGATCACCAAGTAGTGATTTACGAATATTAGCCACATTATCAGATAAATTGCGAGCATCCACTGTGTCTAGAAAGCTCCATAATTTACTGCGTAATGTAGCATCTGGCAGTATATCCAGTTTATAATAGGAGGAATTTTTCACCCATTTGATTATGAAGTTTAAAACTCTATAATGAATTAAAACACTAATTTATATCACAGAGTGGCAATAATTTGAGATAAGTAGAAAAAAAATAGAATAACTGAAGGATTACGAAGTAATATAACTAAGATGCCTACATTCCGATTTATTATTCTACCTGTCCAACAGTAGAGACGATGAAATCGGGTCCCAGTGGCTGAATGGTTTACGAGCTTGCCTTGTAACCGGAAGATCCTGGGTTCGAACCCCAATGGGTGCATACTGCCAATGGTTCTCAAACTGAAGTCAATCCGAGGTCAAACTCCAGAAAGAAAATAAAATAGAATAAATGCGAAAGCAACTATAACAGTTTGTTTATTGGATATAAAACACAGTGGAACACTATTACCTGCTGGGAGATGTTTCGAAAGCTATTTATTGCTTAATCATGTCAGGTGTTATAACTTTGTTTCTGACATTCACGTTACATATAAAAACTTTTAGCCTTTCAATGATTCTCAATAAGACCTTCAAACCTCCTTCCATGAAAACGTTCACTAAAGTGAGTCCATCAGTTTAGAAACAAAGGAGGGCTGTATCAGATACGGTTATTATTAAATAATATAAGCGATTATGGAGAAAACGCAATCGCGTAACATTCTACGGCTTACACAAATATTTATAGCAAATAGCTTGCTACAATTACAAATAGTATGAAAAAAAACAATTTAGACCTTTACCACTTCAAACCAACTAAATAAATCTTATACAGCTTTTATTCAAGTATGACCATATAAAAATAAGTTGGTGGCAAAAAACAAACCTATATTGTACACGCCGTTTGTATACTGAACGGAAACGCTGCTCTAGACGCCAGGCAGCAGTAGTCAGACAATCACTACCCTTAACTGAATTGAATTTTTCATTGGCAGCTTCTGTAAAATCTGGATTTGGTATGTTGAATCGCTCGATCAATAAGTCCAATAGCTCCAAAGCTGTAACATAACGTCTGTAGGTCTGTAAGCGGAAAACAAAAGAAAAGTAATGGTAAAACAAGGTTTACTGGGTTGGTCGACATTCAAAATCTCAAATTTTTACTAGGTGTAACGGACACACAAGATGAAATGAATTTTTTACTCAGTTCTTTAAGTGTTACCTTGTTAATTTTATATTTCCCTCTTCAATTATTTTTGTGTAACTAATTTTAACAAGATTACTTTTAAAAAACATTAGTTATGTGTGTTATGTGACAACCTTCCCTAACATTACCCATTTCACTGTTTAACTATACTTATATTATTTTATTGTTGCCCTTACTTTTTCAGTTCCTGGAAAATGTAGTAAAATACAAGTGAAAACTATCATGAAAATACACTGGATGCTAGTGTGGTGGTCACTACCAATAAAACCATGTTCAACTCTTTCACCCAGTATCGTTACATACATTTACACACTGAATAATTTTAAACACGGCCTCAAAGAATAAATAAATCATGTTTAGTGTTTATCAGACAGTAGCCGAAAACAACAAGTATATGATAATGAGCTGTTAACTATTTATAATTATATTCTATGACAATTCTTAGCTGATCACTAATACAGTAAGTTTTCACTTGGTGGGCGTGTTATTTGCAGTGACAATAAGCTAGACGATTGGTTGAATATAAAATTACTTCCAAATTGCGAAAGATATTAATACAAAATTTGACAAGGTAAATGAAGCAAGTAGTAGGAAACGAATTCAAGTCATTAGGACAGAAGTTGTGTAACCAATACGTAGAAAAAAATGAGCCAAAGACACTAACTAATACCTTAAAAGCAATGCAGAGTATGTTGACATATAACATAATCTGATTATAGGCTTTGTAGGTATTTGTCTTTAATTTCAATGTAGGTTTCTTCACGAACAAGTCAGTGAAAACCAGGGAGCACTAAACAGCTGCTTTGTCCTAGTTTGGGTTTCTACATCAGTACGCAATCGCGACCACATCAAGGATTGAACCATGGACCTTAGGAGGCCAAGATTGCTGACCATTCCAGACAAATGGGCAGGAATTCGTAAACCCATGAGTTCTAGTTTCGTAACCAATCAATGCCGCTGATTAGCAGCATTTACTTCATCTTGACATAGCCACAATATCACGTTACACCCTCAGGACACCAATCCAATAGTTGCCAATGAGCTGGAAATCAATATTTAGATTTTCGGTTTTGTAGGAGGACAGCTGTTAAGTGCTCCCTAGTTTTCGTCGATGCTTATTTATGACGAATTCTAAATGGAAAAGATGTAAAATATTTGTTATAGGATTTCATCATGAGCTGACATCGGTTAGAGAACTGTTGGAAAAACTGGAAGTACTGGATAGCTGTTTCGTCCAAGTTCGAGATTCTTCATCAGTACGCACTCATTGGGGTTAGAACCCAGGACCTTCCTGCTATAATTCGAGCTCCCAGACGACTAAAACAATGGGTGAGAGCACAAATACTCGCTGATGACATTGGTTAGTGGTCGCACTATATCGTCATTTGGCAGACGTTGGAATTCATGAGCCATTGGATTGGGTGCCAGTGGCTTAATGGTCTATGAACTTGAGTTATAACCTGAAGGCCCTTGGTTCTAACCCCAGTGAGTGCGTAATGACGACGAGTCCCAAACTAAGACGAAACCACTGTCCAGTGCTCTCAGGTTTTCAAACAGTTCTCCAACCAATGTCAGTTCATGACGAAATCCTGTAACCAATCAAATCTCTGCAAACCAACACTTGAATGTAAAATATTAGCTTGATACGAAAGACGTACGACCCACCCCTAGGTGGAATTTTCACTGATAAACAAATGTAGTGAATTTTACAGGTATTGGTTTTGTAGGGAATGTTTTTTTGATTGGTTGGAGAATTTCACTATGAGCCAACATCATTTAGAGAACCATCGGAGAACCTGGGAGTACTGGATAGCTGTTTTGTCCTAGTTTGGGAGTCTTCACAGTACGCACCCACCGGCGTTCAAATTTTACTCGTACTGAATTTTACTTTTAAAATCAGTGTGAAAGGAAATATTATTTACAAGAATGTTCTGTTGATCCTAATCGACACTTTAGAGAGTGAAAAAACAACAACACTACAAATGTCAGATAAGAAAAATGCGTCTAATTAATGTTATTGAAAAGAAAATCAAAACTTGCCAAAAGAAAGGCATTGAGAGTTTTGCTATCAAAGTATTCATGGTAGGTCATTCGTTCAATGAGTTTTAGGATTGTTGCAGCACGAACAATAGGAATTCCTGAGCTGCCATCAGTTTGTGGAGGTTCCAAAATAATATTAAGTGGTGAATCTGGAACAGCATATCTGCAACAGGAATACATAAAAGTATCAAAAGATAGGCATCAAACACACACGTGATTCAAAATCATGCAAATATTTACCATACAGATCCCGTCATGAATATCTAAAGCTCATAAAATGCAGTAAGTCGATAAATTTGGAGGCGTATTGAATATGAAATTTCAAACTGCTCCTGAGCTTAACTAACCGTCTGAATAATAAACATCTTTATGTGATCTGAATTTATCTACGGTAACCTTTTAGACAGCGTAATTTTTTAAAAAAAGAGGCATTAAACACAGAAATATAAGCGATAAAACACTGACAGCCTAGAGATCAAATACTCAAACAAATAAAGACACTTACCGGTATATGGAAGGAGATGGCAAGATCAGAGGAAGGTCTTGACGTGGAAGGGACATCAGATATCGTTTGAACAATCTGCGAGACACAATACAAACACCATCAATTTAGTAATTATACTAAATACAATGTTACTATTTGAAAACTGAAGTGATTTAAACATTATCTATAACAATTAAAAGAAATAGAATCGCGTGATCTACTCACAGAGTAAGAAGAAGAATTGTTTTAACCACTACATATTTTCATCATACAGAAAATATGATGCAGCTACCGGTAGGAAGTCTTTTCTAAACAAGACGACAATTTACATGTTGTGAGTTAGCAACATGTAATCAATATGAAATTCAGCTTTGATTTTATAATTATATGTGCTATGCATGTTATCCAAACATGAAGAATGCTTTGTAACACTTGAAATGATTCAAATTAGGAAATCATAATTCGAATAATGCTAGTTGTAAAATTCTACACTACAGTTTTGATTGGACACTAGTCAGTAACTAGTGTAATGTGTCTAGTCCTATTTTTGGTGTAGACTGAATTCTACCAGTCACGTTCACAGTATGGCCACCATTCTAGGTGGCTTGCTATCACGGTGCTCTGTGAACTGTGAGGGTTAGAATCTCAGAAGGGATATGAGTTCCTTCGAAGTTGCAGATACACCTTGCTGATAAGTGCTAACTAGCACGAAATCTAGGTCCAAAGCTTCCTACCAATTGCCTCCAACCATCTAATACCAACAATTCTATACTATATTTTACGTGAATGCTAAGTCTGTCAAGGACTTCTTTAGACATTCAAATCAAAGATTTAGACACTACTATGCATCACTTTGTGAACACTGACAGGAGTACGATAACACTTTCTAAGATTAATCCAAGCATCTATTTATATTGACTATAGCGACACATATATGCTATATCAAATCAAGAAATAACGTTATACAACAGAAAAGCAAACTATTGCATTAGATAAATGCAAAATGAAATAAACTGATTAGTTATATTTCAATGGTGGCAAAGTTTACACACAATAAAAGGTTTGCAGCATGACCAACAACAGTGATTTTACAGCTTTTTACAAATACGCTAAATGTCATTACAAGCAAGGCTTTTATGAAGTGAAAATTATTCATCTGAATATACAAATCCACCTTTATTTGAAGCCTTTAGGACATCTAGATAATCGATTCAAACGAACATCAGATTTATTTAAAAAAGCTTTACTTTATCTGTATCTTAAATGCACCACCTTGTGTAGATTAACATCTTCACAGTAGAACTACAATTAACTATGGAGTTTGGAGGTTTTATTAGAAAACAAAAAGGCAAACACTACATAAATGTACATCAGTTCAAACGCTTAGATGCTTGCATAATTGGAATAATAACCACCAAACGAAGCATTGCTAATTATTAGTAGAAAGAGGCCAGTTTTTTTAACTATCAGATGAAATTGTACTCTACAGCAGTGCTCATGTTTGTACTCTTATATCACAACTACTTCTAACCCATTTTTTATTATGTCTGAATCCTTTCCGCTCTTAACTATTGCCAATTCTTATATTAGTTATTCAGGAATAGGTTGAATTCAGTCACTATTAGTATATATTGTTTAATAATAAACAAAAGACACTGAATTATTTGTCCTCGAAAATTTCAGCCTCAGGGATTTGTACAAGAGATTTAGTTAGTTGTAATTTGAATAACCTGAATAAAGTGCATATAAGAATTCACGCTTCAAAATGTGTTCAGAAAATCTCCTCGAGCTTGTCAGCTGTCAATATTAAGTATTCAATAAACTACCTCTGTCGTGATTCTTTGAATTGGGAATATTTTCTTGATACTGCTAGACAAGAGTATGATATGAGAATAGAAAACTTGTCAACTTCAAAAAAAAGTAAGTTTGTGGAAGATCTCATTAGATGGAAAATATGTATTTGATTAGGTCTTGTCTGTTATTCTCATATGCACTTGAATTCTTATTAAATTATCAGGATGGAACATTTGAAATACAGCACATGGATACATGGACTACTTTTTAACAAGCTGCGTGTACGTCGTTACACATGTTACGGACCAGTCAACTGATGGACTTCTGAATATGACGTTAGCTATTAGTAGTGTTTTACAGAAGGAATTTCTGAGAATTTAGGTGGTTACTTAAAATCTCTACATCTCTTTATTTCTAAAAAGCGACAATAGAGAAAAAACGTCGTCTTCGTGTTGACCAGCGGCGTAACAGCCTTCTCCAAGCATGTGTTAACAGCAAAGGTGAGGAAAAACAGAGAGTACGAAAATTACACACCAAAGTTGGTTCTTGTAGTCATCATTGGCGGAAATATTTTAAAACATAGGTAATGTGTACATTAAGGGATGTAAAGAGTGGGTCAGTGGCTTAGTGCGTAAAATGCTCGCCAACCACGCATGTGGTCCAAAGTTCCATCCCCAGCCGACGCACTCCTTTACCTCAGTAAGCTGGTAATAAGACTGGTGAAGAGGGAAGGTTGGGCATGAAGTTAGCAGCCCCACACCGTAAAAGAAACACCACTGCTACTGAAACTTCAAAGCTCTAGTTTGAAAGCCCTATGTTACACTGGGAACGTAAAGGAAGGAAAAAAGAGGGATGTAAAAGTATGAAGTTAAGAACAAAAGTGTTAGTTTAGGGTATCTTCGAAACACATTTATTGCTATTTTGACCATGAAGCATCTCAGTAACAACAACTACACTTTACGTCATGAAACCTCGACTGCAGCAAACTAGAGATGACTGTTGTGCCTGGGAGATTTGTTGCGACTGATATCCCCGAAATCGAAGAGAGGTTGAAGTTTTCGAACACCGCAGAGATATTAATACAGTTGACTAAATCGCCTGAGACGGTCTTATAGCTATTAAATATTTTAAGCATACTGTAATCTGTTGAAGAAATGGATTGGTAAAATGAACAATAGTTGATTTATGTTATATTCGATAATACGTAACAATTCTTTAAGTCAGTAGTTCCAAATTTAATCTGATTCACATTTCGGTGGTAATCTCTATTATTATTATTATTATTATTATTATTAACGCCACTAATAAACTTGATTTCTTAGTTATACCTCCCAATTACTGTGTGGTGCAATCTCCTTAATAGAATTTTAATTACTAAGCTGTTTACGTTTCGAATGCAATAAAAGTGATAACAATACAGTACATATACACTGATAGGTGAACTTCATTACGTTAAATTCAATTTACTCACCTATTAACTCTCTTACAAAAATCTTAGTGAAAATGAACTACACTACACACAACAAATAATAATTAAATTCAACAAGAAACAAATGAATAATTTTAAGCACAAAAATACCTAGATAAATGAAGATACACTAAAGCTGACATCCAATTCGCTTTATCTTCTCTGCTAAGAAAGATGAACGTGAAACGTTGCTTCGGGTAAGATGAGATAACGTCTATGAGAGCATTATTTGAAGCAGTAGCTGCATCTTCAGCTGTTGGAAGAATCAGTGACTTGTTGCTTTCAGCATTTCCAGAAGTTAAGTTTAGCTTGGAGTCTGGAGAGTTATCAACCAACGTGTTAGTACTAGTTAACGTCGAAACAGATAATACACTGCCAACTTGAAATTGACTCTGATTTAATGTACCAGGAAATACAGACTGAAGTTCACCAGATGATGCAGTGGGATTGTTACATGAATGTAAATTGAAAGATGAATTGGCTGTGTCATGTTGCAAACCAGACATAACGGAAGACAACTTCGGTGCTTCCCAAAATTCCAAGTCAAATGAAAACGTAACTTCTGAAAAGTGAATATGACATAAAAACAGCGTTAATTCATGTTATCAATCCGCTTTTCAGGAATAAGGACAACAGCCTAATGGTGTATATCAATATATGTACTCTTTATAACGGCGATCTGGTCACCATATAGAAGTATCATCAATAAGAAATTTAACTTTCTCTTATATTTGCAGTAATGTTGAGTTTTATGTTGTCAACGTCTTTTTTGTGCTACACCGCTTAGAAGGATAAATATTCAGACAATGAAGATTTCATCGAGTTTTCGGACGTTGAAAGAATGATGTTAAGCTGTGATGAAAAGGTATCAGTCTAACATGTATGAAATACGACTTCGCTAATTCGGCTACCCCAAATCATACTTCAACGGTATGTAGTCTACAATCTTTACAAACCCATTGGCTAGCTGATTTCCATAATAGAACAAAACGCAAAAAAGCAGCAGTTCAAGGTGCCATATGATCATTCCTAACTCATTTCCAACCTAATTTAACTTCAGTCAACAACGATCATCTGGGCAGGCATAACACATATCCTAGACACCACAATCAAGGAAACATTCACAACCCAATCAACTGATTTATCTTTTTGTTTACTATATTGCTCTGCCTAAAACGCTAGCCATTTTGAAAGCAAACAGATATTGGGTAACTTGAAGCATTTCCATTGTAAGGACTGACGTGAAATTATTTAGGAATACGTATGCGATTCTTTAGAAGTAGATGAACACCTCATAAATGACTTTTTGCACAATGAAACTCACTATAATGAAAGTTAGATCTAACATAAAACAACAATCTACAAGTTATTACCAACCATGAGAATAACAAACAGTATGCCGGAAAACAACTGAAAAAAAGTGGAACAGTTTAGGCAATAAGTAATTATTGAAAGCAGTCTGAATACACTAAAACCAAACATTGAATGTTGGGTAACAATTAAAACATGAATGCTCTACAAGCTACAAAAAAGGATGGAATAAAAAGTTATTATGACAGAAGAGGAATTGTGTATAAGTCGACAACATTATTATTATTGTTATTGTATCCTTTAATTCCTAGAGGGACATAGGGCTTCAGCCGTGAGTCTCCATTGCGTTCGGTTCTCTGTTAGAGTCTTCACCTGGCTCCAAGTCTGCCCACACGCTTCCATCTCCTCTTCACATGACCTCCTGCAAGTCACCCTTGCACGACCAACTCGCCGCTTCCCTTTCGGGTTCCACTCGAGCAATGGCTTGTCTAGTGATGTCACTTGATGGTTTCCTCAGAGTATGGCCAATCCATCTCCATTTCTTCCTGCCTATTTGTTTCACAATTGGTTCCTGGTTGGTTCGCTCCCAGAGATCTCTGTTGCTGATCTTTTCTGGCCGGCCATCTGATCTTGATGTATTGAGCGAAGACAGCTGTTAATGAAGGTCTGTAGTTTGTTTGAGATGCTCTTTATGATGCACCAAGTCTCTGATCCGTATAGTAGCACTGACTTCACATTGGAGTTGAAAATCCGGATCTTATTTTTGATGCTGAGTGCTGTTGACCTCCACACAGACTTGAGAGTAGTGAAAGCTTGCCTTGCTTTCCCGATCCTTGCTTTGATATCCTCGTCTGTCGACAACATAAGTTATTAAATTAAGCTTGTGAATCTAAAATAATAACCTAAAATAATGCTTGAATTCTAAGTAAGAAACATGAAATTTATGCAAAAACAAACCAAGAAAAATTAAAAACTAACTACTTTACCGTTATTATCATTGACTTCCGGGGCTAGATCTATGAGATGAAACTGCTCCAAACAAATACGGCTTTTTACTTTCATCACATAATTTGCACTAGACGAAGAAGTAGATACAACGTTACTAAGTACTCGTTTTTGTTTCTTACATAAAAGCAACCAATTATTAAAAAGATACGCCATTCGTTCACACTTTTTAGGGCGATTATGATCAGTTCTTATCTGTACACGGCCCTCTGAGAAAGAAGAACAAGGAACAGAAGGAAATCTATAAAACGATGAAAGACAAAGCTAATAAAGTGAATGAGCAAAACATGTATTTCGTATATATATATATATATATATATATATATGCGTCGGTGGCATAGTGGTTAGAACGCTCGCCGACCATGCATATGGTCCGGGGTTTGATCCCCGGCCAACGCACTCCTTTACCTCGCTAAGCCAGAAATAATGCTGATGAGGAGTAAAGGTTGGGAAAGAGGCTAGCAACCCCATCCTGTAAAACAAACACTGTTACAGAAACTTCAAGCCACTAGCTTGAAGCCCTATGTTTCACTGGGGAACGTGAAGGAAAAAATATATATATACTAGAAAACGGTATCCTAATCTGTACATCTAATTAAATCCATGTAATGAAAGCATCCAACACATTGTTTATAAAACGCAGTTGTTAAAATAAATCCTAAGCAAAACTGATTCAATATCACAGAATTACAAGACATAAGTGCTTATTGTCTATTCTGGTTAACCGAATCGTTGAACAACTGTTATCTCACATCAGTACGAAATAATCAATAAGATAATTACAAAATCGTTAAATACCAAAGAAATATAATAATATTATGAGATATGAACTGAGAAACACAAAGTACCAAGCTATCTCTCCCAATGTATTAAACGAACAACCCAGTTGGGATAACTATTAATTTTTATTCTCATGTCGATTAAGTACATTCACAATAATTATGCTTTACAAAAATTAGTCATATACGTTTTTAAATACTGTTTTTGTACATACCCATAATAAACTCAGACATAACAAGTGGAAGTTCAGAAGGATGTTGTATACGACGAACAGAACATATCAATTCTTCTAGTCTGCTTTTTCCTTCAGCTGGACACGGATCATCAGAAAGAGGCGTTTTCATCAAAAAAGACAATTTCGGATACACAAGCTTTACCCAATCCTGATTAAATAATGTAGCGGACACAGAAGATCGAGTTTTTGATAATATAGACATTACGTCCCTGAGAATAGCTTGTTCACTTTCTTCAGTAGCTTGTGTACGGAGAGCCTAAAAGTCAAGTAGATTTTGCAAAATTTTAGAATAAAGTTGAAACATTTAAAACATACAACCTACTTGTAAACTATTCCATACGTTCGTTTATTATAAGAAGAAGACAAATTTAATCGACTCATTTCAAATCCTGTACACCAATTAAATGTTGAATGTAGAAAAACATGAGGTTTTCTTAGATCCTTTTCTTCAATAACCAAACCTAACATCTGTACGGTACACAGGTGCATGTGGTTGCTAAGGGAAAGCCGAGTACCTTGCCAGTGTTATCAATGAAGCGTTTTGGCAAAATCAAAAAAACCTTCAACTCAATATGTCTGTGCGGTTGTGATCAACTTGGATCACATTATAGGAGTCATCGAGTAGTAAGTCAGTCAGATAACATCCATTTCTTTGAATAATTCTAAGCGTTAGTTGGAGAATGCATAGATTAGCTTTATGTATTCACATGGTTATCCTTAGCTTTTTCTCAAAGAAGTCTTACTTCATACGAAGCCCTCTGAAGATATGGATAATAAATGTATTAGCAGATGAAGTACTGTAATAAAACACAGGTTTGTTGTCATCTTATTAATGTAAAATTTGTTACTGCTGATATCTTATGTTTTTTTCTGTTTTTTTATTCCTTTACCTTCCCAGTGGTACATGCAGTTTCAAGCTCGAGCTTTGAAGTTTCGGCTCCCCTTTACCAGCTTGGCGAGGTTTAGGAGTGCATCGGCAGAGGATCGAACCCTGGACCACGCGCATTGTTGGCGAGCGTTCTACCATAGACGCACTGATATCTTACGAACCTCTGCAAAAGGAATTAAATGAAGACTATTTGCTTCAAATCTGTCCACAATAACTCTTTAAAAATTATGAACCCACAATTAATTCACATGAAACTATTCGAACCAGTATCAATGAAAAATATAACATAATTCATGAAAACACTCCATTTAAAAAACCACCTAGAGTACTAAACGTTCAAATCGTCAAGTCTGTTAAAGCTGGATTCACTCATCATTAACTGTACAGAATATCGATGAGATGCTCACTAGTGACTTGCCCTATTCAGGTAGGTAGTTACCTGGGGTTCTACTGAGAAGTCCAGTAGGGTGCAGCAGGTCGGGTGTGAGGACAAATACTCGCCGAAGACATTGGCTAGTGGTCGCGCTATGTCGTGAATTGGCAGAAGTTAGAATTCATGGGCCATTGGATCAGGTCCCAATGGCTCAAAGGTCTACGAGATCGCCTTGTAACCAGGAGGTCCTGGGTTCGAACTCTGGTGGTGCATACTGATGAAGAGTCCCAAACTGGGACGAAGCAGCTGTCCAGTACTCCCAGGTTTTCCAGTGGTTCTCTCACGAATGTCAGCTCATGGTGAAATCCTGTAACTATACAGAAGTTGAACTGTATAAGAGTATACCTTCGTTTTCTCTTGATATATGTCAATAGAAAGAAAATAAGAAAAATTTAGAATTTTCAGAAAAAATTCAAATTCACGATACCTCTATGTGATCTGCCAGCTGTAGTAACTGCAAATTCGGTAGAAGCAAAAGTTGAGGTAGAAGATAACGAAAGGCGATTACCATATGACTGCATGATGGTGAAACTGTAGTTAAATCGAAACTGAAATGAAGGAGTTCCATCAACTGTGCTTGACCTTCTTTAAACGAGCCAGTTCCTGAAGAGTAATTATCGGTATCATCAGAGAAAACCTTTTCATTTAAACTGCATTCATTATCACCGGCAGCCTTCATACCGTCATCGTTGATTGCAGATGATGAAGACGATGTTGACAAACCATAATCAGAAGTTCGAACAGTTAGATCTTCAGTCTGATTCTGAATGCGATCATTATTTACAAAATCCGGTATAGATTTGTGTGCTAACTGGAGAGGTAAAGGTGAAATGCTAACTGATCTTGGACTTGTGCTGTGTTTTGTATTGGAGGAATGATCCGTTGGCTTTTGTTGACGTGGATTTGTAAAGGATGTAAAAGATGGTGAATTAAAAAATTGTTGATTTGTTGAGAGAGAACAGAAGGGTAGAGATAGAGAAGTAACATTGTCAGATGAATTGTATGTACTACTTACGCCTCTACCTGCACAGCTGTTGATAGCGTAGCCTGAAGCAGCATCCGGCCAATATGATTGTGAAATGTCAGACTGATGAGGTAATGCATAACAGGGTTCTGAAGGCTGTCCTGGTGCTGTTAAATTTACACTGTCATATGTAAAACTTGTCGTACACAACTGACATGAATGAGGGTCAGAAAACCGTAATTTTATCTCCGCATGCCGACGACTAGATGCCTGAAAAACGGGAACAACTATTTAACATTAATTTTACACTCTAAAGGGAATTTAACAATGAAATTGTTTACGCTAACTTGTTGGTGAATAACGAGCAAAGAAACTGAAATCACAAATAAAATAGGGATCTCCCTATACTCAACAAAATGTTTTAGTGAATTCAAATGACAACTAACAGAAAAAATGTTTCATAACTTATACGTATCATCGGTGAAGTATTCAGCCAAGAATGAGCGTTAAAAGTGATCTGCACTATGTTGTTTATAAACAGTCTTTGATGCAGATTCGAATACGTTACTACAAAATATGCTAGTTACTTTGAATATCTGTTTCAGGATGAAAAAAGGTGCAAATGTTGTCAAAGATGAAAACTATTTTCTACTGACAATCGAAAACCGATAAGACTCTTAGTATGAAGGTAAATGATAAAACAGGTTTTGACAATTTCTACTAAATACAATATATTTTCGTGTAGCTGAATTTCGAAACGGTAAGGAATAAGTCAGTGTCACGAAAAGGTTAACGCAAGATATCACTATTACAAGTTAACAGGATATACGCTGAGTATAGACATTATACCTAGAAGTAGCCTCTCAAAAGTGTCCTTGAGAATATCTGGAGTAAATTTGCCTCAGAAAATTTAATTAATTCAAACTGATTATCCATGATTAGTTGCATTAATTCATCAGTAAGTACTCCGAAATGTAATTACCTCGTTGCAAAACAAAGTGAAATCATAGTAAGGAGAGATACAGCGTGTCTATTTTAATGAGATGGGCATGTGGCTTATTGCCTTAAGTACTCGGTTTTTAGTTGGTGAGTCGCAAGTTCGAGTCCCACTTCACCTACTTTAATATGGGCAACTGGGCAGTATCATAAGTCCTCACATGATAAGTTTGGTTCTTCGCTTGGTACATGAAAAATCTGTCCCGGGTAATTTAGCTTTAAACTATTTTGGCTGGTTGAAACCATCTCATTCCTGGTGAACCAACCTATGCATACTAATCCAATTCCATGTACATACATCAGGAAGAAGTAGCTTTACACAGATAGTCAAGAGATATCCATTTCCTGCACTCATTTGTCAGCATCAGTTAACTTATATATTTTCCTTAGTTATCGCTTTCCGAATCTTTTATCTGTTTGTGCTAGTAAGTGCAGCTTAAAGTTATGTCACTTGCAAATTTTTCCGTCCTGTAACCAATTTAGAGGATTCGTGCTCACTGTAATAGCAAACCTAGCCTCTTAAAGTCGTGCTCCTAACTATATATTAGAGCTCTTTATATTCGTATCTTATATCAAACATACCAACAGCTGAATACTGTATTCGTAAAGGCCAAAATAATGCCTCTACATTAGCTTTTCTTGATCAAGTTAGCCAGTTTATGAATTTGTTTTACCTTATTTTACTTTTTTTCGAGTGACTTTTAGGTCTTCCAATTATATTATCAACATTTTTGTCTGCTTGATGTACAAAGAAAGAAACGAAATATCACACTTTTCAGAAAAGACATATAGATTAGACTTAGCATTACCCCCTTTCACTCTACGTGGATACACCCTATGACAAGAAAAGAATTAACACCAAGAAAAGGAGCTCATGAAGTCGAAAACTGCAAAACGCTAAAACAGGAAAGGAGAATAAAATGAACCGGTGAAGATGTGATACGGAAATCAGACGTTAACAGGTTGTGAGCATATCTGCATTACTCAAACCACTTAAATCATATTTCCTAGAGTATTTAGCCATAGATTTCGGTTGTCAGGTAGATCCCTAACAGGTGAATTGATGTTTTACCTGGGATTTTATTAATAAGTATAGAATGAACCACAAACTCCATCCGTGCCACGAAGGCTGTAAGACGACGAAAACTGCGTGACTTTTAAGCTGTCTTACCAGCCATAAACCTACTAGAGTTTACGAGGATATTCCGACGGTGTAGCGAATGTATATTGAATAACAATACAAGTAATTTTAATCACAAAGTCTTACGTTAGTTAATGTAACTCGTAAAATCCTTTGGAACTCGTTAGTAAGCGTGCGTGTAATATGCGGTATCTGAGCTAAAACATTTATCCATTCTCGGCAATCATTACTGAAAACTGCGTCTGAGTAGTGAGCAAAGCTGTAAAACGTCTCGTCTTCTGCAGGTTCCTAAAATACATATTTAAGGGTTAGTAAAACAACAGTGATATTAATTCTTAAAATAAGATTTATTACTAAACACGAATATGAAAATGAAAATAATTTGACAGACCACTATCTAGACAGACTAGTCACTAACTCCTGTTTAAAAGACTCATTCATGAAATAGAGGTCAAAGTTGGAATTAATTCTAGAAACCGGGTATGTAAATTATAACATATTGACAAATATAATTTCTAATTTATCAAATATTGCTTGTGCCTATTCACAATGATCAAGAATTAAAGAACCATCGAAATGCCTAATTAAGAGACTGAGAAAGAAAAAGTGAGGCATTTTTCACATCTCTAAGTATGAGAAACGATATCCTGAAACTATAACTAAGGCCATCATCTCTATCGTACCATCTTCACCTGTAGTCTCTTACAATGAGCCTACAAACCCCTAGAGTAGTTCGATGTCTAGATTTGTCCAACAACTGGACGCAGTCTGAATTTCCCAATAGGCTTTGTCTGTTAGTATTTATTTAATAACAACAAAGTTTTCCAGTTCAATGCATATATTACATATAGGAAGCAGGTGAATAAACTAATAATGACACTGAAGTTTTCCCACACCTTCATGACAATCAAATACCCTTGGTAAACAGTACTAAAACCACCCGTCAAAACATTTTTACTTCACTTGAGTGGATTTACAAACATTTTTTTCCGTTAAGTAGCCCTGAGAGTAACTTATCAAGAAAAAAATTAAAAATTATTAATCGACAACGTAGACATAATGAAAAATAGTAAACCCGAAGTTTTGATTGCACACTAGTTAGCAACTAGTGTAGTATGTCTGGTCTTTTGTTTGATGATGCAAGCTCGAATCTAAGAAGGGACATGAGTTCCTTCAAGGTTGTAGATACGCCTTGCTGATGCGTGCCAACTAGCACGAAACCTAGGTCCAAGGGCTTCCTTCTGATTGTCTCCAACCATCTAATACCAACAAACCCGAAGTTTTTTCTGAAACAAGACTGTTGCTAGTGTTTGTCAACCAATATAAAACAATTATGTAAAAGATTAAGAGTGATGATTATAAGAGGACAATGAACTGATAGATAAATTAATACACTAACTACCACTGGTACTTTTTCAATAGCTAGATGAAATACATTCGTATGTAGTGTTCTGTCTAACTCATATGTCGCTTTCTCCAAGTTTTTTTTATGGTTTTCCCTATGGATTGAAGCACATTAAAATACTTAGATAATCAATCACTCATCAATGGTAACGTGGATAGATGTGTCATCTCATTTGTTGTCTTTTACATGCTGCGGTTATTTCACTTAGTGTGGGACTCAATATCCTCACAGATTTCCTAATTGACATAGTTAACAATAGTGAGAATCTGAGCTCAGCTACATATATAAAAATATATACACTAAATATAAGTATAGAGTAATATATAATAGCATGTCTCTAAAATATTACATTAATACGAGTAATAGATACGAAACATTTGTCACTCAAAGACAGCCAGAAACATACCGAACAGTATAAGTGTGTGGAATAAAGTGTTTAGCTTGAATTGATTGCATATATATATATATATATATATATATATATATAATACAGTAAAAAAGATAATGCTAACCCGAGGTGGTGGATGTTCATACCAAGGTAACTAGGTTAGTCACATAATAGTCTAATAGTCTCAGTTCTTAAGAAATCGAACTCATAGACTGTCGTGCTTGCTATCAGTCATAATTCACGTTTCACATTATCATTCACATAACACAGAAATATCTTTGCCAGCTTTGGAGCTACATTAGTTTCAAAAGGTTCCGGAAAGTTCCCTAAAATCTTTAAAATGTCCCTATATTATAGGATAACTGGTCTTTTTTTTCAAGAATGTTTAAAGTTGACGAAGAACTTCACTAAAGTGTTCATCGGATTTGCGATGGTGGCTGCTTTACTATTTATTTCCTTTACAAACCACTAACCACTTGTTTTAGATGTCACAGTCTTTTAAAATCTAACCGCGCTTGACATACCATTTGCATTATAACTGCACAGTAACTAGACGTCAAATCATTTTTTCAATATATTATCAGCATGCCTGGAGGTAAATACCGAGAAATCCCATAAAATTAGCGTTATTGATGCAGACAGCGAAAGAATTTGTAACTTACTATTAAACATGAACCAAGAAGACGCGTTTGATCTTCCTGGGCATCGTCAACGCATTCACTTAGTAGAGTTATGTGACCATGCACCTCTGAAGCACGATCAAAAACAAGCTGGGCAGATTTGATTGATGTGAGTAAACGACGAGCAGATAGGCTAACTTCGCTTAAATCATCACATTCGGACAGAAGGGATTCTGTAAAAGTGCGGATTTGAGATAACTCCTCCGATAGCGAGTCACCGAATATTCGTACAACTATCCCAAGATGTTGGACACTAGATCGCAATAAAAACTGTATCTCTTTTGCATAATCTTTGTAGTCTTTGAACTTTCTGTGCAGGGATGGAATGGGACAAACTGGTGATTTTGACTGCTTTGATGCTCCGAACAAACTGAATATATGCTAAAAAATTCAAATTAAATTACAAACACTATGTTACTGTGATGCACTTATAACAGCGCACGAAAGACACTGAGCGAGTGTTATCAAAGTAGTGGTAACTGGTTATAGTATAATTATATATCAGTATTGACAATGGTTTCACTTCTTATTCAGTCACAGGCAATTTAATTTTAGAAGATGAACCGACAAGAATGATAATGAATGGCACCTACTGCCTAAACTAAACTCCAAGAAGTTCTGACCAAAAGACTAATTATTCGCTATTATATATTAATTAAAAATGTGCAATAACTTATTGTGTGAGGGTTGATGGCACGACTCAGCTGCCGAAGCTAAAGTGGATGGAGCGAATAAGAACCTAGTAGCCCCTAGAAGAAGATTGCTTAAGGTAATCAGCCACATTTGGGCGGAAAGATACCATTGGTGTTCATAATTTTTTCCACGAATGAAATGTAAAGTTAATTCACTTCTCATTAGTAAAACGGTAAATGAGCTCCGAACGTACCTGAATATCTGTCCCCTCAATATATCCTGAATGGATTTTCGACTCGTAATGTATTGCCCACTAGGAAATTAAAACAATTATAATATATTACCTGGAGAATCTGCCCCATAATATGCTCCATTAAATGTGCGAAAAATAAGGAGACAGACGGTTCCACGTGCGGATACACTGACTACAAACAGAATGAAACTAAAAAACAAATCTACCTTAAAAGAAGAAAAGACTTTATCTGCCGAGATGTAAAGAGTTTTTTTCTTCCCCTTCTCAACATTCAACTGAATCTCATTCAGAAATTGATTAGAAGGTCTAATTTTTGAAGGAAAACAGTAGTCTATTCGTTCTCGGATGTCGACAACACAATTTGGAATTGTGGGGTCACAAAGACTTTTAATTATACCCACTGTGTAATTAATAACATGCATTCTTGCGTCTGGGCTTAATGTTACAGGAGTTTTACGCATCTTTAGACAATAGACTTCAAGAATCCGAAGACAAAGTGAATCCAACAAGTTTGAATTGATTAGTTGATCGAAAGGAGTAGACATCTTGTTCATACTCTATTAATCATTACTGAGAAATGAAGACCTCCGAAAACTGAAACACCAAGAAGCAAATCTAAAGAAAGTGTAATAATTAATTATTTAGCAAAACTTTAGTTTTAAGTAAAACTAGCTATAGCAGCTAATTGCATAAACCTACTATAAGCATAAACAGAGGTGTCAAACCTTGAAACACATCCACTCCTACACGGCCAATAATTCGACTATGAAAACAGACTTCCTACGGAAGCTTTGTAGATTCTTATATGAATACTCCACGAATGCATCTAATCAGAATGAGACACATTTTTCAAGGTGTCTACACGTAAGAAATGTGAACTCAGACGATTGATTGAGGTCTTATTAAATGATTACTGAAGTACATAGAGATGAACAATTACAAGAAGTGAGATCCCCGCGCGAACTTTGAAAAGGGTGTGAATTTTACACGCTCGTCTTTAATTTTGGTTTTTGTTGTTATACGCTTCAAAAGTCTATAGATTAACTTTAAATCGGTTTATTCTGATCGAAGTTAGTTTACGTTTCAGTTTTGAGTCTATTTAATTATAGAAAGTTGTGTTCTTATAACTTAATAGTTATATATAGCCATCTTTGTGCACTCGTTGGTTTTTTACCAATGATTTATAAAAATTATATATATTATATATATATATATGTATGAAGTCATATTTAAATCTTTTCGCCCCGATTCGCTCTAAAAAGCATGCCTATCAAAATGAACTTCTGTGGAAGGGTTATGTGCCAGTTGAAGAAAGAATGCAAGAAAGAATGATAACTGCAAGAGATGGTTTCATTGCATTTGCACAAACCTAACTCCTGCAGCATACAAGCGCTGCTGAGAACCTTTGGCGAATTGGCTGTGCAGTGACTGCTGATAGATCAAGCCTCGTCCACACCAGTGGATAGCAGGCGAATAAAATCGACTACGATTAGCCAGGACACCAATGAATGGCGTAATGTAGTCTCTCACAAAACGCGAGATAAGGAAAACATATTGACCACATTGCCCACGAAGGATAGAAAGAAATTTACACCACAGAGCAAGAAAGCCACGGCAAGCAAATCTGATCTCTCTGACAGGTGGCTCATTCTCCAAAAAGTGGAAGAATCACCGGCCTCTGATCCCAAGGTCAGGTTCGAGCATGACCTTACCTAGGTCAAGCCCCTTTTAGATAAGCTACTGCCAAAAACAGTTTCAGGTATAACAATACAGCGTATAAAGAATCGGCCAAAAGCATGACCCTACAGTAAATCAACCTGTACGCCTCCTCAAAATCGTACTAAACTCCAAAAATGAGAGGGATGCCATTCTAAGCAACCCTGAAATTCTTAAAGGATCAGGCATATATGCCCGTGTCGACTTATGCTCAGCATACCAGGTCAAAAGACAGTCTGCGACCCTAGAATTAAGCGAACGACGCCGTAAAGAAACCTTAAGATTAAGGGTGCCCCGGTTGTCAAAGTTCGAAGTTTGATGGTCCCGAAACCTCTGCGGGTATGCCGGGGAAGCACCAAACTGAATTGACAGTTTGCTACACAAACGCCCGCAGCCTGTTAAATAAACGGACTGAGCTGATTAACATGATAGACTCCGGAAACCCGGATGTAATTATCATCACAGAGACATGGCTCACACCCGATTTCACTGATAACGAAGTTAAACTATTAAACTTCGAAGTGCATAGGGTGGACCGCCTAAGCCGCAAAGGAAGTGGCGTAGTCATCTACCTCAAGGAATGCTTTACCGTGTATAGCATCGAAGCACTCGCTCACGAAAGTGAATCGTGCGAACTTCTACGCTGCAGACTTATATGTATAGGCTAGGATATTGACCTCGTTGCTGTATGCCTCAATCATGACTGCAGTGCAGATGACTTCCTAATAGAGAAGCTAGGCTCCTGAACATCGAAATGTCGAAGTCTCGTAGTCGGCGACGCTCCAACAGTTGACTGGACAAGCCTTACAACGCCATCTTTAGACAACTCCTTTGATCATAAACTGCTAGAATCTAGTATATAGCTAACCTTAGTGCAACATGTCATTAGGCCCACGTGGTATGACTCAGCACTCATCTTCAACTCTGGACCTAGTGTTCTCCTATGGTGAGGATGTGGATCTCATACAACATCTTCCTCATTTAGGAAGAAGTGATCACGCTGTGCTCACTTTCAACTTTACAGGAACAGCACCATGGGCCAAAACCCCAGCTCGAACAAACGTTTGGAGAGCTGATATAAGTGTCATCGTTTCAGCAACCAACTCAGTAAACTGGTATATCAACCCGGAGTCCCAAGTAGAAGCCGCATGGAACCAATTTAAATAACTTTACGCCCAAGCAACTGAACCTTTCATCCCTTGGTCTGTCACAAAGGGTCGGAAACTTTGCCCCCCTTGGATAAACCAAGAGGTTCCTAAGTTACTCAGACGCAAACACAAATGTTTGAACCTGTTTGCCACACTTGAGAATCCCGAGGCCAGGAAATTATATAACACTGCTAGGAATAAAGCTATTGCAGAAATCCGCCAATCAAGGATGAAGTTCGAAGCACATCTGGCTCAAAGTGCAAAGGCACAACCTAAGAAAATTTTCTCGTACATGAACTTCAGGAATAAAACATCCAGTGGTGTCCCAAACCTGACTATTGACAATGACACAGTCGTAGAAGATCAAGAAAAAGCAGAAGCAATAGTAGACTACTTCTCCCAAGTCTTCACACAGGAGTCGTTACTCCCCATAGGTTCAGCTCTGGCTGCATCAGAGGGACACGGGATAGATTCCGTTGACATCGACCAAGACATCGTGCTCAACTGCCTAATGAAACTAGACGTAGGGAAATCAATGGGTCTTGATAATCTTTATCCAAGGCTTCTCAAGGAGCTATCAACCCACAGAGCCCCATTGACCACGATCTTCAAGCCATCTCTCCTAAATGGAGTGTTACCGCGTGACTGAAAAGACACCTTAGTACCCACCACCCACAAAGGAGGATCAAGAAAGAGCCCTTCAAATTACAGGCCTATTAGTCTCACCAGCACTTTAATCAAGACGCTGAAGAGAATCATCAAGAAAAGTATCATGGCATATCTGGAAAAAAACAATTTGTTATCCAAAGCACAGAATGGCTTTCGAGGAAACCTCTCATGTCTGTCAAATCAAGGGACAACAGAAGACCCGTTGACGTCGTCTTCATGGACTTTAGCAAAGCCTTCTATAAAGCTCCTCACAAGACACTACTCATGAAGCTGGAAAGTCTTGGTATCAAAGGCAGTTAACTAAACTGGCTTAGAGAAATCCTCATATATAGGAGCAGAGGGTTAGGATCAACTCGAAACTCTCCTTCTGGACAGCACTGCGTAGCGGAGTGCCACAAGGCTAGGTACTCGGACCTCTCCTATTTATTTTGTATATCAATTAGTCATCTCTGCTCACCGATTCCCATATGGTACTATACGCAGATGACTTTTGGAGAGAGAGCTGAAGGGTAACAGTGATAAGCTCACGTTGGAAAAGGACCCAAAAAATTGTCAGAGTGGTCTAGAGGGCGGATTCTCCCGATCAGTGTAGCAGAATGTGCAGTCATGCGCATTGGAAACGTAAACATCAGCTCATATGAACTAGAGGGAATAAAAATCCTATCACTTCAGACTCATTTGGATTAAGGTGTCATAGTTAGTCACGATTTAAAAACTACAGCACACTGTAGCGCGGTGGCTGCATGTAGTTTCAAATCCTTATGGGCAACTTGCAGAGACTTTACTAGAATCACCAGAGATATGTTCTCCTCCTTGTATACATCTCTGATGAGGTCAAGACTTGAAAACAATATCCAGACATTCAGTTCTTGTCTTAGGAGGGGCTCACATGTTCTAGAAAGAGTTCAAAGGAAGGCAACACGTATGGTTCTTGGCATGACTAACTTATCATACGAGAACAGACTAGACAGTTTAAATCTCTTCTCCCTGTCATACCGTGCGCAGAGAGGAGATTTAACCACAATGTTTAATATTTTAAATAATGTATACGGATCTGACCTATTCCCTCTTTTCCCTTCCACCAGGCCGGAACAACTTAGAGAACATAGCAGGAGAGTTCAAAAGCCAAGAAGAAATCATATAGCTGTTGAGTGCTGATTCTCATAGCGAGTCATAAACTCTTGGAACAGACTCACAGAAGAAGTGGTGTCTGCAACCTAAACTGACTCATTCAAGAAGGGTTTGGACAACCACAGAAAAATACTAGAAAACGATTAACATAAGCTCCAAGCCTCCTATCCTCAAACTCAACCTGAATCTGAATCTACGACATCGAAAAAGTGTAACGATAATTTGGATATAGACATATTATTTACTTATAACAAACCAAATTAATTCAAGTCCTTATAATCTAAGCAGCTGCACTCAATGTATAATAACTAAAATCAGTGAACAAAAGAAAGCAAAGGCTTTCATACACAGTGCACTACAGACTAATTCCCAGTTTTTTACATGTTTCTTATTTCAATCTGCTTCCTCAGTTGATTCAATAATCTTACCTGTTATCCAGAATTTATATCGACACGTAATAGCTGCAGAAATAATTCTCACATTGTATTATGGAAACCAAATTGGTGCAGTGAACCCGTAATTAACTAATAACCCTAACACATTACTTGGACAAATTGTCGTTCAAAGTAAGCGGCGGCAACAAGGTTGTTATTGTGACACAGTTTTGCTGTCGAGAAATTGAGTAATTATATAAACTTCTCTAAACTAACTAATTTTAATAAAGCTAATTTTTTCAGCTGACGTTTGAGCCGTGGGATTAAAAGCAAAGTTCAACAATTGCATCCAAAGTTATGCAAACACACGAGTGACCTTGAGTCGTATAATTATAAAATGAAGGAATTTTGCCGCAAAAATGACGTATTTTTACAAGCATATACAAAAACACGCATTAAAAAGGGTATCTTCCTCTGAAATGGCTTAAAAATACATCCCAGTTATAGTGAGCAGTATCTCTTGGTAAATCAGACTAGTTTCTGTACATTTAATCACCGAGGTAACTGAAGATGAGCTGTTTTTGTGAGTCCTGTATCTTTATTACTCTGTTTTGCATTCTTCCTCAAAAGCCTTTGGTTGAATCACCATGGTTTCTAGTGAGAGGATCGACGATAACTTATAAGGAAAATATTGATAATAAAAACAAATTTAAATAAATGACATCAACTCTAAATCTATCCCTAATCTCAACTCCAACCTTAATCCTGAAACTTGACTCTAACCATAACATTAATTCTAATCTTAATAACAACCCTTACCCTAACTGTAAACCTAATCCTAATTATGTCCTAACCCTAATACTTATTATTTTCTTCATTCCTTCACGTTCCCAGTGGAACATAGGGCTTCAAGCTAGTGGCTTGAAGTTTCTGTAGCAGTGTTTGTTTTACAGGATGGGGTTGTAGCCTCATGCCCAACCTTTACTCCTCATCAGCACTATTTCTGGCTTAGCGAGGTAAAGGAGTGCGTCGGCCGGGGATCGAACCCCGGACCATGTGCATGGTCGGCGAGCGTCCTAACCGCTATGCCACCGACGCACAACCCCAATACTTACATTGAACCTATTCCTTACCCTATCTGGTTATGAACACATCGTCCAAACAGTACTCAAAAACGTGATCTGGGTGAAATTTGCTCCTTAGGTGGTGAATAAAGTTAATGTTTCAGTTATGATAATGGCAGGTACCTTTAGCCAAGGACTAGCATACATTCAAGGTGACCGGAAAAAAGGGCTCGCCACCTGCTTGCAATAGACCTATAGAAAGTTGGAGGTTGATTGTATTTGCACAGCAGTTTCTGGTCTGCTCTATGAAAGTAGCACTACTTTGGTGCAAGTCTTCACCTTCACCCATTAGCACGAAAATATAATATCAGTGTCAGCAGCGTTCAAGCACATAGTATAGTTGACAAAATCCTCCTACACTGCATGATAAGAGGGTCACATCTCAGTTTAGTAGGGTTGATAGGCAAAATAAAATAGGCGGCTGGTGGCTGCATGGCCTCTCACCCCTTCCATAAAGCCTTCAGCCGACTGTACAGCGGCTACCACTCGTAGTAAAGAGTTAGATGCGTCCCAAGCTAAACGCATAAACGGTGGGAACTTACATGATTTTTTTCCTTCTGGTTAACGACATCTCGAGAGTTGCCATGTGGGATTTCGTGGTGACTGGATTACACTGTTTACGTGACTCTGCTCAACTTCTTTTTTCTCAGAAATAGCTGAGTTATCCCAAGGACAGAGGTAGTTAGGCATAGTTACGGTTCAACCCCACAGTACATTTTTTATCATATTTATTTCAAAAGCAATTACAACAATTGTTTCCTCATCTTTGAACCGTTTCTCTGAATCTCCGGCATAATTGCACCGAACCATTTCCTTAATAATCTTGGTGTATCATATCTCCAGCGGACCAGATTTTCCGCTAGCGTAAGACTCAGGTCGCGCACGAACTCTACGCAGGAAAGGCTATGATCACAGAAATAGTAATTCGGCTGCTACTAATCTGGTGTGTACAGATGAATCGACATGCATTTCGCTGGTTGTAGCTTTTTCCTACGACGTGTTTTCCAGTCCTCCAAAGTCATCTGAGTCATTTAAACTTTTGCCGCTAACTAAGCCTTTACAGAGTTAAAGTAAAGAAGAGCCGGACAATATCCGGCTGCGGGAGAGGACACTGGCCAGTATTAGAGCGACATAGCTTCTGCAATACAGCCCTATGAGATCCCGTAGGTCCAGTTGCTCCCAAATGAGCAGGTGTGGCAGTTACTTGTACAGAACACCATTCCACATATGCAGTCCACGAGAGGCGAAGTGTCAGTACCCACCTGGCCTATTACGATCGGGAGAATGTCACTTCAAGCAGTGTAAAATGTATTCGTGGAATCAATGAACCTCACATGGACTTGAATGTACGCATACCAGTATGATGTTCAGTTATTCCGTGATGATGCGAAATGTACTGCAGCACCAACATTATGGGCAACCATTGAGTGTCAGACGTTACGCACAAGGATCGTTTACTGGGATGCGAGCCTATTCGAAGAACGGTGCCTGAGATCCTCGTATGGGTGGTCTCTTTTACAGTAATCTAACCTCAAACAGTGGATTGCGTGAAAACATACTTACGTATCTTTCGTGTGGCAGATAGATCTGTTGTGACATAGGTAAGACTGAATAGCACCCTGGCCTGTAGGCCTTCAAAGTACTAAATCAAACTGTATGACCTCGAAGTAGCAGTTGCCTTAGACAGGTTTTATGCCGATATCTGGTAGTCATTACCACTCAGAGTATTGTTAAAGCCTGGTGACTTGTAGTTTACCACCTGGCATCGCCACCTACATTCCTAATCATTTTTGTTCTTATGGTTTGGAACGAATTACCATTGAAATTATTGCGATAGGACCCTGATCCCTAGTTGACGAATTCTAGGAATCGGGTTAGTCACAATGTTTAAACCATTTCGTGCTCATTTCTGATCGGCCTCAACTAGAAATGACGCTCACGATTGTGGTGTGGCCATCTATCCTTCTCCTTTGAACACATCACCTGTAAGACTTTCAGCCTGGCCCACCTAACTAATTAGCCACATACATTTGATGATTACAAAATGCAGACCGATGGCTTGACAGGTTCATGCACGAGCAACTAATATGACGCCACAGTAGGCTAAATGCTGTGAATGCTTGACCGAGCACCACCGGCTTAACAAGCTGAATTAAATAGTAAAGGTCAGCATCCAATGTTGAATGGAGTATGTTGCAATGTAATTAATTTGTGGAACTTTTTACCTCACAGTATTCATAACAGCGTTCGCCACCCTGACCATGATATTTCTTGGTAAATTACTGCATAATTCTTGGTTTCTGTGATGGTGTGGGCAAATACACTGGGAACAAGAACGTATGTGGTTCAGTAAAATCTCGTGGTACAGTGGAGACCTCTTGTGGCACTGAATGTGCACCTACATTTGAAAGACGAGTTAATGACATAAAACATTGCTCATGTGGCAATCATCATTTGTATGCAGCAGTTTCGAATTTTGCTAACGTGGTATTCTATTCGCTTTCTTCACATGGTTTTATCTGCTGCATCAGATGAGATGCATGTATAGAGTAGCGTGATCTCCTATCCACTTGACTCTGCAGGTGCCCAAGGGTAACCTCTAGATAGGCTATAACGTCAACACCTGTTAAACTTTCTTTCCTCGGTTAACTGTCATCAGTTTACTACCTACCGTGTATGTACTGATGTATGAGGTCCAAACATGCACTATTATGCGCCCAGATATGAATTACATTTGTATAACAAGTGAAAAGTAAAACTAATACATAGCGTTAGTGTATATCTTATCTGTTCACAGGCTGGAGCAGCAAGATCGAAGAGTGAGCTTAATGATAGCTCAACAAAGGAGCGAGCTACGTAATAGCAGTCACGCCGGAAAAGCAAAGATTGTTTGGCACCATAGCACACGAATGCGTTGAAACAAAAGTTCAAACATTCAAGGCGCACTACAACTCACTAGATGGTGAACCACTTTGACAAGATTAGGATTAGAAAGACTAAAAGGCGTGTGACGTTTGTAGAGGACAGATGAACTGGCCGAAATACTCCTTGAGAGGTTGTCTAGTAATGTGATGGTGTGATACAGACAATGTGTTCCAACGGAATATTATTCTCACAGTAAGAATCATAGTATTTTTTGTGTTATCGTTTGAATACGATTCACACAGTTCAATAGGGAACTAGCAACAGGATACGATGTGTACACTTGAATATTCTATTTCATTTCGTTTGATGTAAACAAATACCACGCTCAGTGATTGGTTAAAGGATACAAACTATATATACATATATATACTGCTGTTACAGTAAGTTACCTACGCGCTGTAATGAGAATGGTTCTAGATCATCGGTATTTTCATGTACAGTATAACCGTCCTATGATCTGTTGATTGTGGTCTTCGCAGAACCGTCACCTTGTTTAGTGGGGAATATATGATTTGCTCCAAGATATGTCGCCGATGGAATGTGCTGCTGGTATTTAAGCAAACAATTCCTCAGACCATCTGGAATAAAGCTGAAAGAGTGAGTAGATTAAAGAATTGTAAGATGTAGTTAAACAAATATACAAAAGTAAGCAGAAAGCAAATAAATGGTACGGGAAAAATGAAGTAAAAGATTAAAATGTGTGCGCTGTAGAGATAGCTGTGGTTTCCATACATTCGCTCAGATCTATACTTTATCAGGTGATGTACATAGACTGTTTGAGTTTGCAGTTACCTGTAATTCACTTAAGACCATCGACTGATGGAGTTGTAGCCATGCAGTGAATTTCGTAATAATAAACACAAATAGAGAAGACATTCAACATATGTTGCTTCGTTCTGATAAAAGACTTTTCTTGATTTTTCAGAATGGTACATCTCCGTTCCTCCCCAATCACATGTTTGTACTTTGATTATTTGGATTTTCATCAAATGACACCTCATTCTGAGATGGCTGAGGGTATGTGGAACTGTAGGACACTTAACAGTGAGCTCAATAAATTTACGAAATATCAGAAAAAAATTAAGTTAATAAGAAAATATTGAGAGAGTATATTATAGATATACAGATAAATGAATTATAAAAAATAATAGTTACTTTAAAATACATTTGTAGTCCACCGCTGCGAACTATTAATATAATACACATATCCGGTTCACTTCTGGGGTCTTGTCCACTTTTGGAATTTGCTTAACGGTAGTTGAGGAGTCTTTTTAGAAGATGCTCCCGTAATTTCGAAAGGATGTAACACAGGGATTAGATGAACAAACAGACAATATGAGCCAGTGAGGAGAGAAAGGGATTAATAGCACGACTACATTTTCATTTAAACGCGAAAGGTATGTATATATGTGGTGAGAGCTGGCTGCTAGCCAGATTGGTAGACAATAATTTACGTCAATGTTTATGTCCCAAATATTAGTCATGTGAAAACAAGAACAAAGATTGATAGCAGACTGTGTGTAGGCGGATACAATTAGCAGACAGATGATCTGACAATCACGAGACAACCACAAAGAGATGAAAGATTTACTTTTAGTGAGAAACAACCAATTAGAAGACTGTGTTTGTCTGCTAACAATAGTCTGTAATAATTTACATGAAAATCTATAAATATGTGTTGATTTCCATAATAAACAATCTGTTGCCTGAGTCTTGCCTTCTGTCGTTACATATCTAACAAAGAAGCCGATTAAACAAAATTAATTTTTATTGGGTCCATTTATTAACATCTGGTAAAAACTGTAGAAATTTATTGTTCAGTACTCCATACGTCCGTGGTGAGAGCTGGCTGCTAGCCAAAGTTGGTAGACAGTAATTGACGTTAATGTTTATGTCCCCAATATTGGTGGTGAGAAAATGAGAACAAAGGCTTTGCGTAGGCGAATACAGTTAGCAGATAGATTATCTTACACAGCCGCAAAGAGATGAAAGATTAACTTTCTGTGAGAAACAACCAGTCAAAAGACTGTATTTTCTACTAACAATAATCTACAATAATATACATTAAAATCTATAAATATGCGTTGATTTTCCTTAATAAACGATCTGTTGCCTGGCCCTTGTCTTCTGTTGTTATACGTCCATCATCCGAAACCGATCATCATACTACCAGTATTTTGATATAAGTATAAAACTTGGGCACTGTGGTAGAGTATAACTCCGTAATGGATAGGATTTTATTTTAATAAATCACACAGTGTTGCACAGTTAAATTAACCAATGACGTTTCAAGCACAAACTATTGCTTATAATCATATCAGTGATATGACAATGATATGATTATGAGCAATAATTTGTGCTCGAAACGTCATCAGTTAATTTAACTGTACAACACTGTGTGATTTATTAAAATAAAATCCTATCCATTATGGACCAGTATTTTGCCTGTACGACGGCTTTTTTGGCAAGGTGAATGTCTCCAAGATTGCTGGTTGCACAACATTGTGGAGCATTCCACAAACTTTGTACAATTGCGAAAACCATTGTGGTGTTAGCACACTTAAGTGTATTGGCAAGGACTAGTCATTTAACCAAGTTTCCTGCAAAGTTTGCGTTTGCGTCTAATTTATCCTTCAGCAGGAGACTAAGGTCTTTCTCTTTTGTAATTCCATTCTGTGATACTGGCTTGCAAAAATACATAATACCTATTTAATCAAAACGTTAGTTCACTCAAGATGGTAAGACAGAACAAGCAGCCAATTACAATGTGAGAGTTAAATACAATGGTGGATGATGGTTTGACTCATTACAGTATCTCCGCCGTAGAATAGAGGTATAAGAGATTACATTGCACTCATAAACGTCGACGACTCCAAGAATAGGAAAAAAATAATTTAGACAGTATTAGCTTTTTTTCTGAAATTACTGTTTGTAAGTTCAAGATATAAAAATAAAAATTTAACAAATTTGAAAGAAAATTCATGGATGAAATTTCAATAGTTCTGTGGGACAACAGGGACACACCTAAACAGATATCACTGAAAAAGAAATATGTAGATTTTAAGGAGGGAATTAAATAAAATTAAGGTATGAAGAGTTCGTCGAGCCTTTATAAATGTTTGCAAAGATTCAGGGTAAGACTTCATGAAAACAAATTTGAATAAATGGACAAGATTAGATGAACGTTTCTAATGACAGCAGTAATAATAATAATAATAGCGAATATGAGGAATTTGAATAATGCAAGAACAACAGTCTGTGCAGAATAAGATGGTACCACCATTTATTTAGTTGGCTTCTGATTAGCTGCTTGCAGGCTAAGTAAAATATTAAGTTTATGTACAGAAAAGTTTTAACATACGTACGAATTTTATAAGGTGTCAGTTGTAGGAGGTCGCAAACTTGGTGAACAGCGCTCAGAAAATTACGCTTATATAGTTTTTGTACAGGGAGTTCAAGTTTAAACAAAAATCAGTATATGCATACAATCGTGAAAGAATTAAGTAATAAAGACGAGAGATGCGTAAGATGAGTAACTGATAAATTGGATAACAGTGTACTGAGTTCAACACAAACTACAGAAATAGGAAATCAGCAGAATTACATTATACCAATGGGGAGTGAGTTTAAAGCTAACGATTACTTAATCAGATGAGACAGAGAAGACATTCAGTTACCAGGGCAAAGAAAGACTGACCACTACCTCTTTCTGAAAACATAAATAGGTTTTTGGACGTCTCCCGGCCGATAGCTGCTACCTTGACGTGGTGGTCGGGCTTGCATATCGCAATGACCCAACGAGCTACACTGGCTGGAACTTATGTTCCTGTAGGTCCTACCATTCCAGAAAGGTTGTTTGGATAGCGGTTAGACAAAATGCGGCTACCCAATCCAACACTATGATTTAAACAAATCCACAAAATATCATGCCGGATCGGTCGGGGCCAGGATTAACAACGACCGCGCTTCCTGCTGCCGTGTCACAGGGCAGAAGTGATAAGTATGCTACTGAGACACACCAAATGAATAAGAACAAACAAAAACAGGCCGCGTGTGACCGGCCTCAAGCAGTTGTCCCCTGGGCTCTGCGGTCACGCAACACTAACCTTTTCTCTATTTCAGGTACCCGAAGACTCAACCAACTTCCACGGTGTGGGCAGCAGGGAAGTAACAACCGCCCACACACTTTCGGAAGTCTGATAGAGATTGCTTCGGCAAAATTGAGGAGGTCTGGAAGTTTTTCTATTGATAATTTTAAAGGATTTTGCGATTTCCACCTCGTGACCCGTATCAAAGAGATGCCTGGTAATGGCATTACTGTAGGTGTTTGTTCCCTTGAGACGTTGGCTTTTACGCAAATGTTCTGTTCTCCCAAAGTAACTGCTCCCACAAATACACGTAAATTCCTATACACAGTTGGAGTTAACATGAGAAGGGTATCTGTCGACTTCTGATTGCACCAAAGAGCATGTTGTCCAATAGACGGGAACCAACTTAGCTACAGGATAGGTTGTGGCTAGTGACGTACTGAATCTCCTGTTGAGTAAACTCGAGTTGAATGAAGACAGGTTTTTTTCCCACTGTGATTTGTTTGACATTTGAGCCTTCACATCTTCCATATTTGTTAATGAATCTCTGAAGATAACAGTTGTTTTTTCAAAATCTTTTCGAGAATCATATATTCTTCCACTAATTCCTCTGCAGAACATATTCTCCTAGCTCTTTAATGCACAGTATTGAAGAGTATTCGTTTATAGCTGTTTGGACAAAAACTGTTA